TCGCAGATTCAACTTTTTTTTGTCAATTTTGCATCAGTTCACATACATCCTTTTCTGGTTTTTGATATGGGAATTTTCGCAAGTTCTGATTTTGTCTCGCAGTGGTGAAAATGTTGGGCGAACTCGCGATTGGGTTCCTGTAATTTGCAGTTCTGTCTACGGTGGCTGCCATGGAAGCGTGATTTGGTTACCGAAGAAGATGAAGGATGGCATTCCAGGAGCAATGTTTGGTGTTGGCAATGCTTTTGGACCTTTCCATGTGTTCTATGAAATGAGATGACCACTTTGCCCTTATTTAAATTTTATTTTCCCTCTTTGCACTCCATTTTTTAATTCAAAAATTAAAAAAAATACACTTCGCACACATTTTTAATGTCACATCATTTAAAAAGAAAATGTTAGCCACGTAACACCCTCCTTAACGATGTCTTCTCAATTTGACGGAAACCCCTAATTGCTTCAATTTTATAAAATCAAATACCCAATTGAGATGCCGAAAAAGAAAGGGATTTGTTTCGATTGAATTGGTCCGAGGGTCAGTCGTCCTTCTTTGCTCTGCTCTCTTTTGATCTTCAATCCTCCCCGAGAACGTGATCCACTCCAATGAATTGTTGACCTACAAAAGACACTCCGACGCTCAAGTCAGATATGTTTCATAAAGAGATCTACATTTTATTAGGATAGATAAAGATCATTGTACCTGAACATCAGTTGTCTACTTATAAGGTTTGTGACAGCCACGTCCATTGATTAACCATTAGTGCAATATATTTTAGGTAATCAAATCCAATAATTAATCATTAATGCCGTATATTTGTAGAGCGTAAGGCAAACTCACCTATTAGTACTTGCTTAATGACCATCAATTTCAATCGGTATACTTCGTATAGTACATAAGTCTCCCAAGTCCAAGCAAGCTCTTTATTAAAAGAGGTGCGTAGGGATTATTATGAGCATTAAAAGAGGTCGCTCACTTTGTATTTAGGGAGTCTATCTTTGATGCTTTAAGTCTTCATTATTCTATGTACCGAGCGGCGAACTCTAGGAGTTCTCTTTGGATTTGTTCCTTAGACTGAACAGAAAATGTTAAGAGTTCTCTTTGAAACTTTTTCCTCTGCAAGAGATTTTTACTCCAAAAAATATGCTTTTAAATAAAGTAAACGCTTCAATATTTATTTTTATAATGAAAAGGCATTGGAACCTGACAAATCTGAACCTGTTGAGTAGTTGACAGAGTTCTTTTTCGAACTTCCTGCGTTGAGCGGGGATTTCTTAAGCCATTTTTCTGACTTCCCCCGCGCGGCTTGAGGCAGGAGTCATTTTTCTGACTTCCTGCGTTGAGCGGGGATTTCTGAAGCCATTTTACTGACTTCCCCCCGAGCGGCTTGAGGCATGAGTCATTTTTCTGACTTCCTGCGTTAAGCAGGGATTTCTGAAGCTATTTTTCTGACTTCCTCCGAGTGGTCCTGAGGCAGGAGTCATTTTTCTGACTTCCTGCATTGAGCGGGGACTTCTGAAGCCATTTTTCTGACTTCCTGCGTTGATCAGGGATTTCTGAAGCCATTTTTCTAACTTCCCCCCGAGCAACTTGAGGTAGGAGTCATTTTTCTGACTTCATGCGTTGAGCGGGGATTTCTGAAGCCATTTTTCTGAATTCTCCCGAGCGGCTTGAGGCAGGAGTCATTTTTCTGACTTCCTGCGTTGAGTGGGGATTTTTGAAGCCATTTTTCTGACTTCCCCTGAACGGTCTTGAGGTAGGAGTCATTTTTCTGACTTCGTGCGTTGAGCGGGATTTCTGAAGTCATTTTTCTGACTTACCCCAAGCGGCCATTATAACTTGACCAAGTTGAGGTCTGAACCTTCCTGCACATAATATTTTATAATTTAAAATAAGAGTTGTTAGAACCTGACAAGGTTGAACGTAGCTCTGAACCATCTTGTGCATAATATTTTATAATTTAAAATTAAGAGTCGGGTAGAACCTGACAAAGTTGATTTCAATTTAGAGAAGAATAAAATTGCTTAATTTAAAAATATAGAAACAAAATTGAATCAAAATAACAAATATAAGGATTTAATTAAATATAAGATAATGATACATGACATTATTACATGTGATACAATACTAACTTAACACAAATATTTTTTTAAAATTAAGAAAAAATTTAATTTTTTTAAAATAAACACGACTTAACATATGACATATAAATTTTATTAAATATTTAAATAATACTAAAAAAATAACTAAATTGACAAAAACTAAGAAAAATTAAAATGATGACGAAAAAAACCATTTTCAATAAACTCAATGAAAACAGAAACTAAATTAGTATTCAGACCTATTATAAAAATTTGGATTATGAATATTTATAATTTTTTTCATAGTACATGATAAAAAGATAATTTACTATTAGATAAAAAATAATTAAGATAGAAATTTAAACTTTGATTAAGACAGAGTATGACGCACATATTTTTGCATGATAATAAAAACAATAAGTCTAATTAAAAAATTAATAGAACTGTTACTAAAAAAAATTATCAGAAACTCTTGATAAAATATATATAAAAATGTTATAAATGTGATAAAATTTCTATTAATTATTAGAATTCCAGATAACAAATTCCATCTTTCATTAAAAAAATGTTATCAAGTGAATTTTTTATTATTTATTAGAGTTCTATGATAACAAACTCCATCTGCATTATGACTACTCATTATGATGGTTTATTTATAAAATAAAAAAGAAAATATATAAAAGATTATAGATAAAAGAAATAATTAAAATAGTATTATTAAAATTAAATTAGTAATAAATATATTTATCTTTTTATTATTTTCACTCATACCACTCTCTAAACCCTAGTTCAAATAAAGTAGAATGGATGGATTAAGTGTGATGGGAGATGAGAAGTCATAAATTTTGTATAAATGTGAGAGTTGATTTGATTCTGATGATTGATTTGAGGTGGTGATGGCTTCATGCTGATCTTCCATTATTTCTATATTGGATTTGTATAAATATATCAGGAAAGGAAGCTGACAGTGACAGGAAAGTAGAAGGGAAAATAAGTAGAGATACTCCAATGAAAACTGAAGCATATTTATAACAATTAAAACATAAATTTTCATATTGGTGACTAGGTTATCAAATGAACAGCTGCTTTGCTTCGTTTTATGAACAGCTCTACCGTTTTAATTAACTGATACTGTGATATAGGCCGAAGATCGTTGTTGAATAACCTCTAACATGGAAGTGATGTTTGATATAAATTAACTGATACTTCTCCTTCACGTTTAAAGGATTACTCCTAAATATTTATAATTAAACGCATATCAGATCTTCTTATAGACAACACTGGCAAGATGAGGACGATTTTGTCCATTGAAATGGTTCCAATTGTTTAACATGATACCAAAACATACCTATCTGCACAGCTTCAGTTAAAAGGATTTTCTACTATATCATTCATAACTCATTATAGAGTATTTGCATATGTTGGGAAAATAAAAATCATAGTTTATGCAAAAGAAACAAGAAAAACTTTTCAACTGAAAATCCAGAAAATGCCATCAGTCTCTTGTTTTCATCGGGCATTGAACTCCTCCAGAAAACCCAGATATAAACTTGATTTGGATTACCAAATTATCAGTCTGTGTAGACATCATGAATTCAACAAATGCACCTTAGTTTTTCATTATATACCTTCTTATTTTAGAGGAAAAAAACCCTCTATTTTGGAGGAATAAAACCCTCGTGCATATAAAGTAAAGTTGGTACATTGAGATGCTGAAATGAACCTTACAATGCACACAGATGAAAGAATCTAACTTAATATTTTGAATTACTCAATAAAAGCAATTCTAAAGCCAGACTAATTTTAAAGTGGTTTCACTAAAGCAATGATAGGACATTAGTTGACGAATCAAAATTAAAAACACTACTAAAATGTACAACATTAATCTTAGTAGATACAAATTTTCATATTTTTTTAATAACCTTTCAATCAACTCTTTGAATTTTTTTTTACAATGACAATAATGAGGTCACAGTTTAGACCCTCATGCAACTATTTAAATTCTTCATCACCAGGATGACCCTAATCCGTTTATTCCTTGACTTCTTAATGGTCATTAAAACCGACATTAAAATTACACAACATTAAAAGCAGTCAGGAATACAAAAACCCAGGATTTTTACTGAATCACATGAGAAACATCCAAAATGTTGGCAAGTTTATTCAATATAAATTTCATGAACGAACTGGCCCTCCGCTCTGTCAACGATATAAGGAAACGGGAAGCGGAAGATGCAGAACAAATAGTCAAAGTCAGACCTAGAAGGAATGCATGATGGTGAAAAGACAACAGTAAACAAACCGATCCTTTATCAGATAGAGGAAAGACGTTCACAGTCAAAAACCTGTTAGGCCACAAAACTAACTAATGCTTCTTCTCAACACATGACGTAGAACTGAGTAATCTATCTTCAGGCTTGGATATTATACACATGCCCCCATGAGTTTGCGGGAGAGAAGCATATTCTGAGGTAGATAAAACTTAATAAGCAAAAGAATGAGAACATAAGCAGGGTCTCCAAGGGATGATCAAGAGTAGATGATAATATGCCTAGTGGTTAAGTTACATCTAGTGATTTCTAAATGCTTAACAAAAGAAGAAACAACAAAATCATCATAAATGATTCAGTCAAGTAGTCAGCCATATTATTCTCTCCCCTACATACTCCCTCCAAAGGCAGAATCCAAATTAAAAACGTACTCCTTTGTACTGAATAACATATGGGTAAAGCATAAACAGTCAATCCCAAGGAAAATCATTTTACCTGAAAACAAGTCCAAAGAAAGATGAAGCAATCTAGTATAATTTTTCTTGGGCCTTTACGTGTGGCTCCTTTGTCCCCCAAAAGAGGCAGCTAAAGCTAGATCCACCAGTATGCCATAAATCAAATGAGGAACTACTTTACATAAGAACAGTAAAATATGCTGCAGAAATAAAATATATTTGTAGCAAATCACATGGTAATAACCATAAGATCCTACTTCAAAACACCTTACATATAAAAGATGAAATTAGCTATGAACTTTGAGATGTAAACCACTATATTACAAAAGAAGATGACATACACAACAAATATTGTCTGTAATCCTACTTCCTTTTGAGCTACAGATCAGTCTTCCATCTTACAGCTCCTGTCCAACTGCCCAATTGAGTTGTCTGATCTTCAATATGTATTGCCTAATGTAAAACTTGTCAAAGTAAAAGGACTGCAACCATTACAGTTTTCAACAAAAGAGAAACAAAGAAATGAGAAATGAACACTACAGATAGCCAAAAAGAGCTCTTACAACCTGATTGTACATCACATGCCAAAGAACAAGCCTAGAACCTCTTCAGTTAGAAAGAAGCAAACCATATTAAACTTGTAACAAGAATTAAGAAGCCTAGTGGTCTCTCCACCTGGGACTTGATATGGGAAAAAAGCCTGAAGGTGATAACGGAAACACAAGGCCAGGAGAAGGAGGAGGTTGTGGGCCAGGACCTAAAATCCCTGACTGCCCCGTGGACGAGAACGGAAAATTTGGTGTAAGCGGAGACGGGAACTGAATGCCAGGTGACAAAAGTGGATAAGGTGAGCGAGGAGATAGCAAATTCATGTAACCAGTTGGAGAAGGCAGGAGGAATTGAGAGGTTGGAGAAAGTAAAGGGGGAGGAGGACCATTTGCTTGTGGTGAAGGAAGAAGAGTAGGCATGGGAGAGTTAGTAGCATTCATTGGTGGAACAGGACCATTAAATCTCGGGGAAGGGAACATGGGCATGGGAGGATTAGGAAACATAGCAGACGAGGGAGCGGGATGAGGCTGGACATTGCCGGGTATTTGATGTTGAGGGTACGGATGTGGTTGAGGCTGAACCTGGTTACCCCTTGAACTTGGATCCATTATTGAATTCTGAAGGTAACGCATGTAAGCAGATATGGGTGACTCGGTCGTATTAGACCATATATCCCCAGGACTAGGCAACGGTTGTCCAAACTGAGCAGGTCTTGGCATGGCATTATTGTGAGGAACTGGATGAGGGGCGGCAGCAGGCACCGGCATTGGCGGGGGCATGCGAGGTCGATTGATTGGCGTTAACGGGGGAGGTCTAATTTTCTGCAGTCGCATGCTCTGCGGCTTCGGTGGATTGTGTGGAGGTCTAGGTGGATGATCCTGGGAGGGTGATCCAGTAAGCTGCTGAACAATATCCCGAAATTCATTCTTGCTAATGTTGTAAACCTGAGGCTGAGGCTGTTGTCTAGCAGCGTTGTTAGCAAAATTGGGCTGATGTAAAGGGCTCTTCCTTATATTTTTTCCCATCTTGTTAACACCCAGACTATCATTATGCCTGTTTTTCGAGTTGTCCATTTCCAAATCAAACCTTACTATACTGAGAAATCACCACTTGTTTTCCCCTTGAAGCAAACCAAAGAAACGCTCATAAGCTTCCAACGACACCCGCAACTTCAAAATCCAAACCTAAAGAACCCGGTTAATTTCAACAATTCTAATACACTAGTTGAACAAAACCAAGCATGAGCTGTAATCTAAGCATCCTGAACTCCCAATAGACACCCAAGATTCCCAATTCCTTTCATTCCAAATAAAAACCAATCTCACCAGCAGCATCAAAGTTAACCCTAGAGCCGAAGAAAGAGGCAGAAAACATACCCTTTTCGGAGCTTCGGCCGAAATTTGAAGGAGTGGAGGACCAGCTTCAAATTCAGCACGGGATCAGATCGAAACTGGGAGCAGAAAATGAAAGAAAAATGGGTTAATGGAAAGGATAATACCCGGAAAGGGTTTTTGAGTAAAAAGAACGAATCTTTGAGGGAGTGAGACTAATTCTTGGAGATGAATGTTAAGTGTGAAAGAGAGGAAATGGAAGAAGCAGAGAAAACCCTAAGGATGGCGAATAGAAGGAGTTGGGTGAGTGGTCAATGGGGGAATGAATGAATGAATGACAAGGGTATTTTCGGTATATCATATAGATTGCAATTTCGTGTTGATGTGACTTCCTCAATCCACAACACAAGCCTGTACAGACACATACAGATCAACTCATTTAAATATAATAAAATTATCATAAAAGGTGTATATATATATATATATATATATATATATATATATATAATACATGTTAATGGGTTTTTTCTTTTGTCTAAGAATTAAAGGAAGTATACCGGTGTTTGTTGGTAATGAGTTTAGAAGATTAATTTTTGACAAAGGTAATAAAAGTAACTAAAGTCTCTACTGTTATATGAATAAAATATATAAGGATTTGAAGTAATTAGTGATTAGAATAAAGATAAACTTAGATATATATTTACTTTTTCCCTAGTTAAAAGTCAAATATAGAGTATTGAATACTAGATAATATTTTATATCCTTAGGGGAAAAAATATAATTAATAATTATAATATACTTTTTTTACTTAAGAAATTAGCAATTCAAATTACTTAACATATATATTGGACAATTGATGTCATGTATAATCTCAACATCAATTTGATGAAAATTTAATTTGTGATTTTAACTCTAATATAAATTATTGGATCAATATTTATTATTGAGTCAAAATAATATTTCATTAAGTAATACATGATTCTTAGTACTTAAAAATATAACAATTTAAACATCATTGATTATAATTTTGTATGCTTAACTTTTATAAGAAAGTCAGGTTTAATGGATACTTTCTAATAAAGATCTTGTATTCACTTATAGGAGATGACAATATTACAAGAGACATTATGATGAGATTAATATTCGATTTATTTCACTAGAAAAATAGATAATCATAAAAAAAAGTCATATGATCTTTCAATTATATGTTTATAATAAGTGTGTATAGATATTAGGTAGTTAAAATGAACTTTTTCAATGATAAATTTCACATATAATAACAACTACCAAGCAAGTATTAGATTGAAATCATAGGAGACATTATATGGTAGAAAATTCAACATAACTCTTTATTAATATTAGAATGGGAAGGACATTCTCAAAACAAACAAACCACATATACATACGAGAATGCAACTCCTTAAGTTTATTATAAATGATCATATCTTTTTTAGGACCTCTTTTCATGCAAGTACTAAACAATCAATAAAAACATTGGAAGTTGATAGGTAAATTCATTATGTCATATCAAAATTTCATACAAATAGGTTTAGTGGTTTGTGCCGTTGTTTTTATATGTTTTTTTATCTTATAATATCATATAAATGTGAAATTTGATGATTTGATAAATCAATTAAGATTGAAAATATTTATTATAATTTAAAAATTAAATAAATAAATCAATTATCCTACTATTGTTTTATGGACTATTACTTTTACGAGTAAATATTAAGATAAACCATTTTTAAATTTTATTACATTTATTTTATTTTAATAAGATTTGTTACTATTTATTATAATTTATTCTCATCTATTTATAAATACAACCAATTTACATGAAGAAAATATACAACCAACACAACCAGTAAAAGGAGTACATTGCACATATTGTTTTATTTGTTATGTGGAGCGAGACGCTTTCTATTCAAGACTTGCTCAAACTCAAACTCTTTCTATTCTTTTTCTTTATTTATAATTTTATCCTTTATTATTATTATTATTTGTTAAAAGAAATTTTTGTTTTGATGAATTTTCCTTTATCAATATCTCTTTTATTACTATTAAAGTTGTTATTATTATTAATATGATTATTATCATATTTTGAATTTTTTTGATTGATTATATATTACTATTTTCTTAAAATTATTATTTTATGTATTAATTATGTAAATATGTTTTAAGGTTTTATTTTATTAATTAATATTTTTAGTTGAATAAATAAAAATTATTATTTTTAAGCTTTATTATTTCACTATAATCACTAATTTAGAAATTCAGTTGTAACTATTAATGATATATTTATATTTTTTCAATAGTATAATATATATATATATATATATATATTTTCATTTTTATACTATTAAAAAGGAACATAAATTATAAAAATTATGTTAACCTTTTTATTGGTCTAATTTAAATATATATATATATATATATATATATATTATAAATTAAATGGTTAGCTTTTAAATAATCAGCTTTCCAAAGTATGAAGAGGTTGTCTATATATGTCATATTTAATATCTTTTTAATAGTCTTCAGATGTTATTTTCAAAATAAAAATTTCTTTGGTATCTTGAAAGGTTTATGGTTGCATTAATTTGTGAAATAATAGCCTCTGCTTTTTCAGGCTTATTATTGCTGTAAATTAATTGTGAAATAAATTTGTTCCGAAATCGACAAGGATTTCAATGAGAAGTTTTTTAGGTAACAATTGTGCGTAGAGATTGCATGAAAACTTATTTGTGTAATTCATTTATGGGTTTTTCCATAGACAAAAATGTCAACAATCCTTCCAGTGTGGAAATATCGCTGTTTCATGGAAAGTAAAATAATTTTTTTTGAAACAATTAGTATTGGTATTTTTTAATTTTGTTAAATAATTCTTTTCTGTATTTTCTATTTGATAGTGTGAAAGAATTCATATATGTGGATACTTTTAATTCCAAAGTTCTAGAGCTTGCTCAAAAAATAATATGTTTATGTAATCCATAATCTAATGTTAACTTTAGTATGATTAGAAATTTAGGTCAAAAAGTCATAAATAAAAACTAAAACAGCAATCGCTCAAACTGATTTTCATTTATGGGATTTCTAAACATGCCATATTCTTTAAAGGGAAACTATCTATTTTGTAGTCTTATCTTTGATCGAAATTTATGAATTAATAATTATATAATAAGTTAATGATATTTTTCAGTAAAATCTCTAAAATGATTTTTGTTAAGATAACTAAGTGTTCATCATACAGGTTATTCCTGATAAATAACAATGATAAATTTTACAAAATATGAAAATGATAAAAAGAATTGGGGTGAGAGAGGCTCGAACTCTCGACCTCAGGATCACTCAGAAGCTATGAGACCTACGCGCTAGCCAACTGCGCCACCACCCCAGTTTGATATGTGTAAGGGAGTTTTAAATATAGATAATTGTAGATTAGACCTGTGATTCCAGTTCCGGGAAACTCTGTAACCTGAACAAGACCAACTTTGTGTGTTTAGTCATCTTTTCTTCTGTCTTTGACGAACCTAACTACTCGTTCCTTACTGTTTCCAACACTTGCTCTTCTGCTGAGGATTGGTGTGGATCTTTACCCACCAAGGTAATTAACACAACTTTTTTCTCTTCTGCATTTTCTTCCACCTTTCAGTCACTCTTTAAATATACATTTATAACCACTTCCCCTTCGAATCTCAAAGCTCAAAGCTTCTATGTTTCAGAGCCACTTTTGCCATACCCGTGATTGCGTGTTTTTAAATCTATTCTATAATCTAATTTGAGGATGACACCCATGTCACTTTAACCCCTCTAGATGACTAAATTTAGAGGGTTCAATTGCAATCTATTTAGCTGCATGACCACATGCAGCCGTGTTGTCACTAATTCAAGTTCCCATCTTTCTTTAGTGGATTATTGCCGGTGCCTCATTATACTGTTACTGGGATAATTTATAGTTCACATAATTTGACTCAGATTTTTTTTTTCTTTATGATCCGGATTCCGGGATAGTTTACTCGTTGATTACTGAAATGTATGGAATGCATTCTTTGATTTTTTTTTTTAAACTGACTTGTAGGAGCTGCATCTCAATTGGCACTACGTCTTAGGAATTGTACTGTCCAAATCTCATTGAGATGTTTTGGTCATTTCTTTAGTTAACTCTCACTGTCCCTCCATATACGAACTTGTAGACCTCCTTTGAAGGTTTAAATTGTGGTGGTTGTCATAGTCGTTATGTTGTAATCCCTGACATGCAGAAATTTGCACTCAAATGCAGCGGATGTGGCTGCAATTAAAGTCATAAACGGTTAATTTGAAACCTTGCCTCCTTTATCACTGGAAAAGGGGGAAATCTAAAACTTGGTCGACGATATTTTTTGCCGTATTTACCTGTCCAAGTGTGCCTTGTTTTTCTTTTTTGTTCTTGTTCGGAAGGGAATACAAAATGGTACCCACTTGCACATTTGTGATGAAGCATTTTGATGAATTTATATTCAAATGCCTGTGTTTATTTGTTTTTTCTTTTGTATATTTTATGTCGAATGAAAGCCTCTATGGATAAGATGAGTGGTTGATGAGATATGAAGATCTCATGTCAGCTGAGTCTATGACCAATGTTGTCCTTGAGCTGTTATTTCTGGCTGAATTAGGTCTATTCCATTCTCATCTAATACAAGCTTTTGAAAGTATTTCAATTTTTCCAACGTTAACGAATGTTTGGTTAAGAAGAAATTTTGTGGAAAGAGAGGAAATGAGGGAAGAGTGACAAGCAGCAAATTTGGAGCTGTTTGGTAGCGTGGAAAGGGCAATGAAATACTAACAAGCAGCGGATCCTGCAGCTTTGAAGTTCCATGATTTGCATGCAATCTTTGGTGTTATTCTCTTTCGACAAAACTGGCACTGCCGGAGTTGCTACTGGAGCTCAGCGGCACTGCTGGTGGTCGCCATCTTTGTGGAGCCACTCCTCAATGTTTTTGGTTGACGGCATAATCCATTATGGTGACACCTAATCAATTATACGTTCTAATAAAGTTGGTTATGAAGTAGTAAACCAATATACTCCTATCATAATGTTAGCAACTTGTTGGATCTTGGTTAAGTTTGATTTGTTGCATTTTCTTTTTTATTTTACCTGTCATTAAGTTTCAAGTCTTTAAATCATGCATTTCTTTCGATTCTGATTTTTCACTCTTTGCAAATTAAATGGCACTAAGAACCATTAGGTCTATCCTTTCTACAACTTTAATTGGTAATTTCACTAATCTACAAAGTCAATGGACTCAGGATGCATATTTGTTGAGAGCCTAAATGATTCTATGTTATGAAATTGCAGTCCCAGATTGTGATATTAATCTTCCATCAGATACACATACGATCAGAGGAGAGGTAGTCAAATGCAAAAGCACCCTTAAGGCACTGGAGGGGTTTTAAAACCTTGAAGCAAGGCGTGTTAGAAAGTACATGCCATACTAAAGAAAGGAATATTAACATTGGAAAAAGAAAACAGGAAAATATCTTACTGCTTTAGGATTTTTGCATTGGGTTCCATAAAAAGTAATTACCAAGCATGAATTCGTTGTAAAAATAGTTCATTTACAAAAGGTGTTTGCTGCTAAAAGACCAACAGACTAACAGTTAGAAAGTCAGGCGCCTAGTTCTAAGTTCTTTTAATATTCTGATTATTTGCACCTTTTAGCATCACAATTAGCCAGTTAGATGGCCAGGTTTCAGAGGTATATTAGTGTTATCAATATGCTTCCAAAGTCACGTCTTGCATGAACTAGAAAGGCTTTGACTCTTTTGGTGCTGTGTGCCTTTTCATGGTTTTAACTATCTTTAGGAAACTTACGTAAAAACAGGGATGAAAGATATTAAAGAGGAGAGAATCATGATTTACATTTTGCACAGGATAGTTTTTGCACTTTGTTTTCTAATTTTATGGTTGTTTACTTAGTTTTGTTTTTGTTTTGTTCCATGTTCCCAATAAACAAATTTGTTATTGACATTTCTTTGGCATTTATAACTTGAGCATTTATTTAAAATTTCACCATATCCATTTTTCTTGAGGTTATTGATGGTGTTCTGGCAGAAAAGTGGCTTTTCAGTGAAGTACAGAAACAGACTAAAAGGCTTGCTCCCTCTAACAAAAGTATCACATGCATGCATCACGAAGAATGATTTTCTACATTCCTTTCTAAACTGAAATGAATAATGCAGATGCTAGTCCTAATCTGAAAATGGAAAACGATCAAAGAGCTGGTGGTACACAAGATAGTTCAATAATGAAATCTGTTGATCAAAGAATACGCTCTAAGGGGCGTAATGACATAATGACTCGCCGTCTGAAGAATCGAGAGAGGCAACGAAGGTACAGGGCACGAAAGCGGCTAGAAGCTGAAACAAAGAAGTCATTTGTTGTGGAAGAGACACCAGCTGTAAAAGTTGAACAACCACCGAATGGGAACTACAACAACAACTGCATGACCCGCATATATTGTAAACGAGATTGGAAGAAGGATGCTAGACGTGCCCATGTGTTAAAACATGAACAAATGAATAGATCTATTGATCCTCCAACCATAACTAGCATGCCTGAGATGTCTTGCTTAGCCATTGGAAATAAGTCAGAAACAGTGCCAGAGAAGGAAATTCAGTCTGAATCTTCTAGTATTGTTAGTACTGAAACTCCTAGAGTGGCGCTGAGTCGAAGAAATTGGAAAGCAGAAGCTAGAAGAAAGAAAAACTAGTTGGCTCTTCATTTCACGTTTTAAAAAGAGTATTTATCCTGTGGACTTTCTGTTCTATGATAAACATTATATAATGTAGAGAATGCTGGATAACCACTGTTTCGTTACTTGGCAGGCTTTGAAATGATCAGGATCAACGAAAATCTGCTTCATTTTCTACGTTATTCATTCATACCTTTCATCACAGACGTAGAAAGGGCATCAAAGAAGATACCTGCCTGACTCTGCTCATTGCTTGATGTTTGGCACAGAGCTAATCAGAAGATCATCTCCACAGTGAAACGGATTTTTTATGACATGTTGAGTATGCAGGTAGAGTTTTCAACTTTAGTGCAACGTATGTTTGAGAAACAAACTATCAATCTATTTATGAATTTGTAATATATAAATCTTGATTTACGAAATAAGATGCTCTTAGAAGTCAATCTCATACTTTTTGTCTCTTACAATTCTCACTCACTCATCTTTACAGTTAATGCGTTGTTACCTTTCCATCCTTTTTTTCATAACCATTGAAAAGAAAAGAAACCAATGAATTGTCAAAGGAACTGGTTAAGTATCGTACCATTTTTGCAATTTATGTTATTATCACAATGACATGAAAACTCTAATATTACAATTTCGGTATTGTTGTCATTACACCCTATGAATAGAAATCGATGTTGAACAGAGAATAAAATATAATTGCCTTATCTAAACATATTCTTTCAAATAAAATTAACAAGGTTCATGTCAACGATTCCCGCTCATTTTAAATGACACTGCCAGCTCCTTGATCATAAGACATCAACAAAGTTATAGATCATAAAGCAAGAGAAGTATTATCCTTTAATAACTTTTCAATTGCATTCCTCTAGCCTTATTAAATTTATGAAATTTTAAAATATGGAAAATAAATTTACTGTTGCGACTCGAGTTGTAATATTGTTATACCTACTATAATATTTGAAAAAGGTATAAAGTATATAAAAAAAATATGATGTAAGATATTTATTTTTGGTAACTTCTTTTCATCCCATGTAAGATATGATGTTAACCCTTAGATCATGGCGGTTGTCGATATCATGATACAAACATTAGTTCTAGCATTCCAACATACACAACATAGAGATTGATTATTGTAGTGTTAGACTCAATAAGAATCGGGTCATGGTTCAAAATCATATCTTTTAGTTTTGCGTTCCTAATATGCTAAAGCTAAGGGATGTGTGGTGTTAGGTTTAACGAAAATTGGAAGATTGGGAGAAAATCAGAAGCTCGGAAAACGATGAGAGTAAAAAGATCCAAAAAAACAAGAAAAATGCATAATGTTTTTAGTTGATCGAGTCTATTATCTCGTTTGGCTATAACAAATATAAAATGTGATGAATTAATAAATTGAACCACGAATTACAAAGAATCCAAAGGAGAAAATGAAAATTAAAAAACTACAAGGGATGTGAGTCATGTATGGGGTAAAAGAAAAGGCTCATAACTTGTACAATGGTTTTGGAAAAGCATCCTTTAATAATGTACAGCCACTCTGGCCCCTTTGTCCAATCTTTACATTATCCCACACAAAGAAAGTATAGAAAAGGCAGAAAAGTGGCAAATGTAACGCAGCAAAGGAAAGGAAACATAGAACAATGATGTGAACAATGTCAGCGGAACCTCACTCTCCGCTCTTGTTTTTCAGTCAGATCTTCAAGACTCCAGTTTCTTCTCATTCCACTGCTCCTCATGAGCTTTGGTTCTGAGGCTCCAGGATAAGGAACATCTCCTGTACTATAATTGCGGCGATGATCACCCTTAAGCTTGCCCACAGCACCAACTTTTGGCAGCTCACGTTTTAGTGCTGATGGTAACTTGTTGTTTGACCAGCTTCTATCAACTTGATTCCATGTTTCCTTGATTTCCTTGTGTTCCTTGTATTCCTTGTATTCCTTGTGTTCCTTGTATTCCTTGTATTCCTTGTGTTCCTTGTATTCCTTTTCTGGAAATAACTCCTCAAATGAGTCTGTTCTTGGAAGAAGCGGGCTGCAGGTAAGGCAGTTGAGACTCATTGTGTTGGTAATTTCTTGTATCTCAAGCAAGCAAAACCAGCTTTTGCTTGTGTTGGTAGGAATATTGGTGCAATGAAGTGGGAAGAAGGTGAGTTTATTATATACATTAGGGCAGAGGGAATGAAGAGGGAGGAAGGCATGGTGAAGGGCTGCATGATTGGATTTGACAATGGAATTGATTAGTACAAGCTGTTGCCCTATTTTGGCATGGATTCCGACCCAAAACAAAAACAGCTTAGCCATTTTCTTTCTAATTCTGGAGTTTGTTGTTGCATGAGCTATTGACCAACGAATGACTCATTCATGCCGAAACCTTTTTACTGCAAGGGATTTATTCTGTCATTTATGACATGCCAAATGTATTTTTTTTATCTTTCATCATATGATTTTCCGCCTAATTTTATATTTTTAGCAAATAACAAGTTTGGAATTGGCGTCTGTTGTGTTATTGTTACCCCTAAAATGGACTGTTTTTGTACTAGCCTAGCTCCCTCTATTTTAACTCAGTGTTTGTATATGACAGCTTTTTAATATAAGAATGATAAAAAATTAAGATAATGTTCTAGATATTTGACTTAAGTAAAAAAAAAAAAAAAGAATTTATTATGATACCGATTATTTAAAACATTGTAAAGAAATTTATATTGAAAACAAATTTATTAAAATTGGATTTTCCGATTGTCCTCTCTCGTTTCATACACTTATGACCCTTGCCGATTTTTATTTTGTATTCACTATTACGCCCATGATGACAATTGACCATGAGAATAAAATTAGTCAAATTATTATAGATAGATGGTTCAACCTGCTAAGACTATTTTTTCTTTCCATTTTTTTTTCCTTTGCTGTCACTCATGAATTACGATTTATCTAAGTAGTAAGTCTTTTCTTTCTTTCTTTTTTCTTTTTATAAAAAAATTAAAATGTTTAATAAAAGCGACCCAATTAGATGGGCCACTGTCTTCGGCCTGTAGTGTTGCACTACGAGGTTCGGACAATTTATTTCTAAACTTCTATATTTTCAATATGTATCCTTATAAATTTTAGTATTTTGGATGATACAATTTAAAATATACAATTTGAAATATATTTTTTAATATATCCTTCAAAATACAAAAATTGTATTTTTGATTGTACAACAAAAAGTTTTGGAAATGCATGTTGAAATTATGGAGCTACAAGTGAAAATTATGGAAGTGAAGGAAGAAATGACAAAAAAATTGGTTCTCATTACAGTTAATAAATGGTCAAAACTATTTCTACCCGAGACAATTTTATCATACACTGAAACACAATAGTATTATATAAAGGGGTGGGCAAAGTATACTCCACTATACTATAAAAATTTGTAGTTAACTACAAAACAGTTTGTCTAAACTGAACTGAACTAAAAAATACTTCAGGCGAACTGAACTAACCAGTATTAAGTTCACTTATAGTACAGTACAATTCAGTAAACTAATTTTTAGTTTACTTATAAAACAGTGCAGTAAACTAGTTCCACTTTCTTCCAAAACTAAAAAATATCGTTGCACTTTATAAATGTTTGTCCCACGGGACTGGGAAGCTTCTCACAGCTTTTGAAAAAACAAAGAACTTGTAAGAACTACATTGAAAAGGTAGAGTTATTGAATACACAATTCAAAAGTAAAATGGATAACTCTGAGATTTAAACATGTACGTCAAGGTTTTACTTTAGCTGTGTCATATGATATAATTCTATTTGCTGTCAGATCACTCTTGTTTCCAACTAAAAGTTTGTAAACATTATCAATGGCTTAGCAATCAATTTTACTGAGCCACTGCTTCACATTATTGAAGTTATCTTCATCTGTCACGTCATAAACAATCCGTGAAAGAAACCAGTTAGAGAAGAGTGCAACAAAAGGCAATATCCTTGAATTTAGACAAATCCCAGGGATACAATTTATGAAAAAAATTCAAACAAATTAAGCTCTGAGTATTATAAAATATATGCATATGATATATCCTTGAATTAGTGACTAATCCTTGAAATAAACCAGACCCTACAAGAAATGGAAAACGAATAACCAAAAGTGATACCTTTTGAACGGGAAAAGAAACTGTTCGTCTGCTAGAACCTGCTTCATTTTCCTCATTCACATGCTTTTCCTCTGTACTCATTTTTTTTCCTGGATTAAGGAAAAAAGGACCAAGTTCGTGTTTAGTATTACACAATTACAAGGTGAAGAGTGAGCTTGTTCCTTACCAAAACAATTGTTGGATAAAAATAGACCACTAATGCATTTAGAGGTCATTCAAAAAAAAAAATTAATACATGAATGAACTTTTTCCAAGCAACACCTAAACTACACACACAAAAACAAACATCTAACCCAATGTAAATGATGAGTCAATGAGAAGAAGATATTAAAAGTGGAAGCAAGAATGGAAAGCTTGAAGGCTTGTCGAGCAGGGGAAGGAACACCCATCTTGAATTTGAAAAAGGGAGGACGCTCCTCCCACGAGAAGAAAAAAATCAGTAAACATAAAGATTATGAATTTGTTAATAACAGGAGAGAGACCTGGAGGAGCCATTGACGCTGGAGTGAAAAGAGAGTCGATGAGAAAACCCTAGAGGGCTAATCGAGGGAGATGGGAGGAGGGATGGGCGACGACAGAATGAGCGACGGCGGGATAGGAGGCGGCAGGAAGGAAGAGGGCAGCGGACCTTGACAAAATCTGTAAGCCGTAGTGATAGAAAAAGAGATTCTGATGAAGAAAGGATACAAAAACTCATGTGTTAACTTGTTAACTAGTTAACTGCCTTAAGTTTCAGTTAACTGCCTTAACTTTCATTTCTTTTAACCTGAACTATAAAATAATTGAATTAGTTTTTAGNGGTTAAGTATCGTACCATTTTTGCAATTTATGTTATTATCACAATGACATGAAAACTCTAATATTACAATTTCGGTATTGTTGTCATTACACCCTATGAATAGAAATCGATGTTGAACAGAGAATAAAATATAATTGCCTTATCTAAACATATTCTTTCAAATAAAATTAACAAGGTTCATGTCAACGATTCCCGCTCATTTTAAATGACACTGCCAGCTCCTTGATCATAAGACATCAACAAAGTTATAGATCATAAAGCAAGAGAAGTATTATCCTTTAATAACTTTTCAATTGCATTCCTCTAGCCTTATTAAATTTATGAAATTTTAAAATATGGAAAATAAATTTACTGTTGCGACTCGAGTTGTAATATTGTTATACCTACTATAATATTTGAAAAAGGTATAAAGTATATAAAAAAAATATGATGTAAGATATTTATTTTTGGTAACTTCTTTTCATCCCATGTAAGATATGATGTTAACCCTTAGATCATGGCGGTTGTCGATATCATGATACAAACATTAGTTCTAGCATTCCAACATACACAACATAGAGATTGATTATTGTAGTGTTAGACTCAATAAGAATCGGGTCATGGTTCAAAATCATATCTTTTAGTTTTGCGTTCCTAATATGCTAAAGCTAAGGGATGTGTGGTGTTAGGTTTAACGAAAATTGGAAGATTGGGAGAAAATCAGAAGCTCGGAAAACGATGAGAGTAAAAAGATCCAAAAAAACAAGAAAAATGCATAATGTTTTTAGTTGATCGAGTCTATTATCTCGTTTGGCTATAACAAATATAAAATGTGATGAATTAATAAATTGAACCACGAATTACAAAGAATCCAAAGGAGAAAATGAAAATTAAAAAACTACAAGGGATGTGAGTCATGTATGGGGTAAAAGAAAAGGCTCATAACTTGTACAATGGTTTTGGAAAAGCATCCTTTAATAATGTACAGCCACTCTGGCCCCTTTGTCCAATCTTTACATTATCCCACACAAAGAAAGTATAGAAAAGGCAGAAAAGTGGCAAATGTAACGCAGCAAAGGAAAGGAAACATAGAACAATGATGTGAACAATGTCAGCGGAACCTCACTCTCCGCTCTTGTTTTTCAGTCAGATCTTCAAGACTCCAGTTTCTTCTCATTCCACTGCTCCTCATGAGCTTTGGTTCTGAGGCTCCAGGATAAGGAACATCTCCTGTACTATAATTGCGGCGATGATCACCCTTAAGCTTGCCCACAGCACCAACTTTTGGCAGCTCACGTTTTAGTGCTGATGGTAACTTGTTGTTTGACCAGCTTCTATCAACTTGATTCCATGTTTCCTTGATTTCCTTGTGTTCCTTGTATTCCTTGTATTCCTTGTGTTCCTTGTATTCCTTGTATTCCTTGTGTTCCTTGTATTCCTTTTCTGGAAATAACTCCTCAAATGAGTCTGTTCTTGGAAGAAGCGGGCTGCAGGTAAGGCAGTTGAGACTCATTGTGTTGGTAATTTCTTGTATCTCAAGCAAGCAAAACCAGCTTTTGCTTGTGTTGGTAGGAATATTGGTGCAATGAAGTGGGAAGAAGGTGAGTTTATTATATACATTAGGGCAGAGGGAATGAAGAGGGAGGAAGGCATGGTGAAGGGCTGCATGATTGGATTTGACAATGGAATTGATTAGTACAAGCTGTTGCCCTATTTTGGCATGGATTCCGACCCAAAACAAAAACAGCTTAGCCATTTTCTTTCTAATTCTGGAGTTTGTTGTTGCATGAGCTATTGACCAACGAATGACTCATTCATGCCGAAACCTTTTTACTGCAAGGGATTTATTCTGTCATTTATGACATGCCAAATGTATTTTTTTTATCTTTCATCATATGATTTTCCGCCTAATTTTATATTTTTAGCAAATAACAAGTTTGGAATTGGCGTCTGTTGTGTTATTGTTACCCCTAAAATGGACTGTTTTTGTACTAGCCTAGCTCCCTCTATTTTAACTCAGTGTTTGTATATGACAGCTTTTTAATATAAGAATGATAAAAAATTAAGATAATGTTCTAGATATTTGACTTAAGTAAAAAAAAAAAAAAAGAATTTATTATGATACCGATTATTTAAAACATTGTAAAGAAATTTATATTGAAAACAAATTTATTAAAATTGGATTTTCCGATTGTCCTCTCTCGTTTCATACACTTATGACCCTTGCCGATTTTTATTTTGTATTCACTATTACGCCCATGATGACAATTGACCATGAGAATAAAATTAGTCAAATTATTATAGATAGATGGTTCAACCTGCTAAGACTATTTTTTCTTTCCATTTTTTTTTCCTTTGCTGTCACTCATGAATTACGATTTATCTAAGTAGTAAGTCTTTTCTTTCTTTCTTTTTTCTTTTTATAAAAAAATTAAAATGTTTAATAAAAGCGACCCAATT